GTTCCAATGTTGCGGAGGAGGAGAAGCATCAATGTACAGGCGTTTTCCTTCTCCTTCGGGTCTGCTCCTTCGATGATGTGTCGGCATTGGTCGTCGATTTCGTGTGTGTATCTGTAGTTATTCTTCTTTGTCTCCGAACGGCCAGCGTTCATCGGCGTCGTGCGGGCAGTGAACGTCGAGCTCTTCTTGAACGTGTTACTCGTGTTTGTTCGGACGTGCTCGCCGCCGCTTGTGCAGTAGGCCTCGACCTGGACTGGTCCGTGGTGGTTCTGGGTCCTCTGATTGTGCTGAAGTGCAACCACGACAAGAAGGCATCATCGCAAGAAACACGACCAGAACCCTGGATCCCTTTCTTTCTGCTGCATTTTAATAGCTGGATCGATCCGTGAGGGTCCCGGGGCCCGAAACAAGGCACAATTGCCCGATGCGACACAAACTCGACGTCAGGATCTCATGGACGTGCATGTTGTATTTTCATCACGACGCCCTGACCCGAGGGGTGCACACTCCTCGAGCCCGCGGTTGCAGGCCCTTGGCTCGAACGGCCCCGGAGCCCGGGGAATGCGTGGAATCGATCTCCCCCCCATCGCAACTTTTCACAAATGCCGGTTTTGTGTTGCGGGCCCTGGGACCCGCACGGATCGATAAGTCTCAGAAAATGCAGCAGGACAATGGGGTCCAGGGCTCGGGTCGGATTTTTGCATTTTTTCTTGACGTCGGATCTCGTGGCACACACAGACACAGAAACATTTTGGCACAATTCTTCAGTGTCGCCAGGATGTCTGGGCCGCTACGTTCTGACCAGAGCTCTGGTCGTGGACGTCCTTTGGGGCGCGCTCTAACCAATGCCTCGAGGCGGGTCCAGCCGTGCCTGCGAGGGCGCACCAGAAGGCCCCACACCAGGTCCAACGCACAAACACACACACACACACACGCACACACGCCCATGCACACACACACACACACGCCCACACACGCACACACACACACACGCATACACACTCACGCGCGCCCACGCATACGCATGCCAACACACGCACATACCCCCCGCACACCCACACACACATACACACATACACATACGCACACACGCCCACACACACACACACACACACACGCACACACAGACATACACACACACACACGCTTACACACACGCGCCCCCCTCCCACATTAAGTCGGCGGCGCAGAGGAGCTTCAGGCGCGACGCACACACATGCACACGCCGACCCACCCATGCATGAGCCCACACACACACGCCGAAACACACAATGTCGCCCACATGCACAAACGCTCACAGACACTAGCACACTTACAGTAACGCACAAACAAAGACACGCCCACACCGACAAACACGCACACAGACACACACGCCCAAATACATAAACACACACAGACACACACACACACACACCTACACACACACACACGCCTACACGCACACACACACACACACACGTCCACACACATACACACACGCCCACACATGAGCGCCCATAAACGTATACACACACGCCCACACACAAACACACACAGAAACACACGTCCACACCCTCACACTCCCACACTCCCACGCGCACACCGGCACACACACAAACACACACACACACACACACGCCCCCCCCCCACGCACACGCCACCCCGCACCCCCCGCACACACATACACACTCAGACGCCAACACACACACACACGCACCTCTGCGCCCACACGCACACACACACATACACGCCCACACACACGCACACACACACATGCCCACGCACGCATGCACGCGCACACACACACACACACACGCCCACACACACACACACACACGCCCACACACACATTCACAGACACCCACGTTCACACACACACACGCACACACGCTCATTCCTTTTTTTGTGCCGCGGCCACGCGCTTGGCGACGGGCGTGGTAACACGCCCACTCCCACATGCACATACACGCACGCACACACACACACACACACACACACACGCGCGCCCACACTCTTTCGGCTGCGCGGCCCCGCGCGCGGCGACGGGGCGTAGAAACACGCCTAGACCCACACACACACACGGCCACATACACACGCCCACACACACACGCCCACACACACACACTCACACACACACACACACACACGCCCTCACACACAGACACACACACATACCGCTATGGGCGGGCATCGAACGATTGCACGACCACGCCCGCACACACCCCCACACCCACACACACACACACATACACAGAAACATGACCACACGCTCACACACAAATACACACGCACCCCACCACACACACACACACGGCCCACACACAAAGATGTTTGGCGTTGCGGCCCTGCGTGGTGGCAGGCGTATAAGGTTGGAAAGCAGCAGCTGGGCCCACGCACACACAAACACACACGCCCACACACAAACACAAACACACAGCCACACGACCACACACATTCACACACACGCCCACACACACTCACACACACGCACGCCCACACACACACACGCCAACACACAGAG